ATTTTTTCTTTACCTTTTATAACTGTTCTGACCGTCGATTCCGATAGATTAAACTTCTTTGCCAATTCACAAATTTTCATTTTTGTATCAAAGTCTTTAATAATGTTAACTTTACATTCCAAAGATAAAGTTTTTCTTTTCTTGTTTGATCGGAAGAATCAGTTCTACTTCGTTTGGATGACATAGTAGAGTCTCTCAAGTCTCTGTAGATAGAACAAACACAGAAATAAATAACACAAAATAAATTGTAGCTATGTGTCGATTCCGCGCAACATTTCCGAACATGTAAGCCGAACAATAGTGTGAGAGGAGTGAGTAATCAAGAGTTGCGTGGCGTTCAAACAAAAGACGAATCGGCGAGATTTGAAAATCGCGTAAGTCAGGGTAGCGTAAGTTGAGGTATTACTGTACATGACTTAATTTCACAATGGTTCACTTTTTCTTCTATACATATATTGTTCATATATATTATACATAATTACATTTAGTAGATTGAAAATTCTTTGTTAACAATTACATGTACAAATTTAAATGTATAGTATTAATTTGTGTATTGCTGTACTTTTTGATTATATTCACTCTGAAAGCAATTCAAAAGTAGATTCATTTGTATGTTTTCTCACTTAACACAATATTTTTCTCAGTTTCCTTGAAAAACATATAAATGAGTTTGGCTATTTCATGTTCATGGATCAAATCCAACAATAGGTAATATAAATTTTCAGTTCATTAAAATTAGTAGCTACTTGTAAATGTATGAAGTAGAGAACATGTTGAAATCTAAAATAAAATAGTAATTTTAAAAAAGATTGTTAGGGAAAAAGAATTATACTAAACTAAAGCACATGTCAATATAGCAAACTTTTTATGAGCTAGCAACATCCGTGCAAGATCACTTGAAACAAGAAGAGATCTGTTTTCAGTTGCCTGCCAAGTCATGGATGAGTAGTCATGCATATATAGTCTTAGATTAGAATAAAGTTTAATTCTAAGTTAAAGGACTGCCTCATCATTGTTCTAACAAATATGAATAAAAAATGAAGAGATTTAAAAAAGTGGTAAAAAAAAATACAGTTAAAGAAAGTAAACATTTCAATCAATTATTTTTTTAGATAATGCATATATTTTTTAAAATTGAGATGATAGTGAGCATTAATTTAATAAGCCAAATAATTTATAGATAACAAAAAATGTAATGAATTTGATGAATTTTCAGTGTCAATGCCATCCTAATTTTATTATTCTTTAGTGTTTGTCTTGATTGTTTATCTGAAAATTATCAACTTATGAATCAAATATTGTTATTCCATAGACAATAGTATAACAAAAACAAAATTTTAGTTTAAAATTGTTAATTTCAGATGATAAAATATTTGATTATGTTTAAAAAAGTGAAAATATTATTCTTATATGTATAGTTTAAAGTTTCTAATGAATAATTAGGAAAAATTATTTAATAAAATAATGGATTGTCTCTCAAATGCTCTTCCAGTATATTAAAAACATTTCCTATTAAAACAGTTTTGTATTATTTATGATTAGAAAATATTCTCAAATGAAAAAAACAATTTAAACTTATATGAAATATTATTAATAAAAATTTTAATTTCTGTATGAACTAAAAGTAACTTATTTTATAACAGTAATAGTTTTATTTTGCAGGAAATTTTAAAATTGGATAAACTGAATTATAATGCTTGGGTATTTATTGGTGTTTCTGCTCAAGAAATAGAACAACCAGTTCAAGCCGAAGCAGCCTTTCGTAAAGCTATTGAAATATCACCTGATCAGCTTCTGGCTTGGCAGGTTTGATATTTTTCCTTTAACTTTCTGAAAACATTTCATGTATTGATTGTTTTAAATCTTAACTTACAAAAAATTAATAGTTGTTATAATCATTATAATATAAAAGTTTGAAATTTGAAAATTATTATTTGTTTTTTTGAATGGATAATTTATAATAAAGNCAGGTGACAGTTTATCTTATCCATGTGAACCACATGTTGTTTCGTACTAATTAATTGATGCTCTAAAACTTTCTAATTGGAAAGTTTATTTATTTATTTAGACATACTGGGCAAAACTCATGATGCGGTGTATATAAAAATTGTTACATACATTACACATCAAAAGAAAAACTATTACAATCCATTCATCATTACAGAGAAAATTAACATACATAAATAAAACAAACAATTTATACAAATATTATTATAAATACCAAAAATAAATATTTAAACAAAATATCCAAATATAAACATATAACAAAATCATGGGGAGAACTATCCAAATAAAAACATCATTATAAATAAACATTAATTACACCCACCTATAAAAGAAAACAGATTAAGTTATCTCATCAAAATGTGAATGGTCTTCCAACACTTTTTAGCCACAAGCACACTTTTAAAGGAAAAGCAAATGCCACCTTTTGGCAATAATCGAATACTCCAATATGCAAAAACAATGTACGTCACTCTGTACAAAAGGATCACTAAAACAAAGTAAATCAACATAAGATTACCTAAAAAAGAATTTAATCTTTTGAACAAAATTAATTAAATCAAAATTACTTAAATTNAATGCCACCTTTTGGCAATAATCGAATACTCCAATATGCAAAAACAATGTACGTCACTCTGTACAAAAGGATCACTAAAACAAAGTAAATCAACATAAGATTACCTAAAAAAGAATTTAATCTTTTGAACAAAATTAATTAAATCAAAATTACTTAAATTACTGATAAGGTCCAGAAAATTCTCAAACGGAATAATAGAAATACCAAACATACTTTCCTGAATTTTTTCTAAATTAGAACATTTATCTATCACATGAAAAGCATCCAATAGCTGATCATCCTGACAATATATGCAAATTTCTCTGCAATAATTCTGTAAAAAATTAAGAGAATTACATCTGATTTGCATTACTGTAGCACTAATATTAAGAGAAAATTTATTATTATAAAGCAAACAATCAAAAAAAGATTTATTTAAGTGCTTGTACCAATCAATATAAGAGCTTGCATTAATGTGTTGATTCAAATCCAGAATAAAATTATCAAAATAATTTAATTTCAAAATAGAACAACTATCATGCTTATTTAATAATTCATCAAAATTAATACCATTATTAACACAAATTTCCCTTAAACTTTTAGCCCACAGAAAGTCCCTCTTATTAAGCACATAACACAAACATATTCTGCTCCATCGTTTTTCATCCAATGCAATAGTCCTGAAGGTCCAGTTCAAACACTTATTCAATAATGTAAAAGACAAAGGTAATAGCAAACACTCCATAAAAATCAGATAACTTGGGGTACAACGAGACACCAAAATCTTTTTTTATAAAATTAACCAAAACTGGATCCAACTAGTCACATTGGTATCCCCAAACCTCGGATGCATATAACAAAGATGATTTAACAATTGAATTAAAAATCCTTAAGCAATTTCTCAAATTACATAATTTAGCTGATCTACACATCTGAATAACTCTGTCAGTTTTAATAAAGGCATTCTTTTTAACAGTCTGAATATGGTATTTGAATATGAAATTTACCATTATATTTTAATTATTAATTAATATAACACCAAGATATTTATATTGGGAAACTACCTGTATTACATTTCTAAACCACCATTTATCCAATTTAGCAAGTTTACTACCATTACAGAAAACAACAACTTTAGATTTCATAAGATTCAAACTCATATTATTTTCTAGAAAATATTTATCCAAAATATTAATAAATCCTTGTAAACCTCTAACTGAGTCGGCAATTAAAACTATATCATCTGCAAAAGCCAGTGTTTTAATGCTAATGCCGTTCACCTTGATACCTTCATAGTCAGAATTAGTTATTTGTTCAATTAAATCATTTAAATATACACTAAACAACACAGGATTTAAAACACAGCCATGTTTAACCCCAGTAACAGTGAAAAAAGACCTAGAACAAAGACGACCCCATTTAATCTTCACATTAGACTCTTTATATAATTCAGTAAGCAAGGAAACAAATTTAAAGCTAATACCATATTTCAAGAGTTTTTTCCACATTGAATTCCTATCTATGGTATCAAAAGCTGAGGACAAGTCAACAAAGAATGCATATACTTTTCTCCTTTTTCTCATTAACGTCTTGATAATAAGAGTATGCAGAATAAAAATATTGTCTAGTGTAGAATAATTTTCACGAAAACTGGCCTGATTTTCAAATAAAACATAGTTTAAATTTAGCCAATTAACCAACCTATGGTACAATATATTACAAAAAATCTTTGACACACAGTTCAGCAAAGAAATTCCTCTGTAATACTAGGGATCGAATTAGACCCATTTTTATATACTGGACATAAAATAGCACTATTCCAATCTTTTTGGACTACCCCAGATCTTAAGATCCTATCAAAGCTTCTAAGCAATATCAGAAAAAACAGAATCCATCCTCCAAAATTCAGAAGGTATCCCATCAACCCCAGGTGCAGTATCAACTTTAATTTTATTTAAAACATAACTCAGTTCAGAGTTCAAGATATCCACATCCAAAATTGCATCAGACCAAATTAAACACTCATTAAAGACAGACAAATCTACAATATAAGGAAGTGAAGAACCATATAAAGAATAAAAATAAGAAAACCATTCCTCCAAACAGATGTTCACTCTACTATTACAATTTCTAATTTTACATAGATTCCAAAACCATTTATTATTTTTACAGAAGATCCCAGAATTCTGAACTGTATACAAAAACTTTTTTTCTTAGCTAAACAAATTTTTTTAACCAAGCCATGAAATAAAACAAATAATTTACGATACGATTCCAAACCATTTTTCTTAAAGGCTTGCCAAACTCTATTTCTATTATGGATCATTAAACAACAATCTAAATCAAACCAATTATTAATATTTATATGATCCTTTGGTTTTACATTCATATTATCAGCATTAGCCATCTCGACAATTAATTTACTAACAACTGATAAAGAAACCGAATCACTGTCTAACAGATATTTCTCCAAATCAAGCATAAAACTATTCATAGACTCACAATTCCAAAAAATTCTTTCATACAAACTCCCCTTATTATTCACTTTAGATTGAATAGGTTTGTTTAAACATAATACCATGGGAAAGTGATCCAAAAAACAGCAATCATCATCCACAGAAAAAGATTTAACACACCCCCATGCACAAAAAGTTGTTAAATCAAAATTAATAACCAATGAACCCAAGCTTGACACAAATGTATATTCACCAACTTCATCACCAGACATTCTACCATTTAATATTAATAAATTTTTATCTGCACAAAATTGAAGCATCTTTTGCCCCCTGCTTTTCACAATAACATCCTTAGATATCCTTCTTTTAGCCAAATCAATACCATAAGCATCACCAATGTAGTCAGGAATAACATTTCCCATTGTTTTACTCCAGAGCGGCTGGTAATTGTGGTCAAGCACTTTCTTTGCTAACTCTGTAACTGGCCTGCTGTTTTTGATGTATTCTTGATGTTTGAGAATACGTGAACATAACCTTCTAGCTGTGGCCCCTACATAATTTGACAATGTATGTTTTAGCAGGACCTGGTAGATTCCTGATTTTTCATTCCACTGGTATTTACCAAGTCCTGCTAAAACATACATTGTCAGCTGAAGAAACCAGTTATGTAGGGGCCACAGCTAGAAGATTATGTTCACGTATTCTCGAACATCAAGAAGACATCAAAACGGCAGGCCAGTTACAGAGTTAGTGAAGAAAGTGCTTGACCACAATTATCAGCCACTCTGGAGCAAAATAAAATTACTGAAATGCTGCAACGAACATAAAGAGCTATTTGTTTGAGAGAGTCTCTATATTTCTGCCACCAAACTGTGCAACTCCCCAACTCTTGAATTACCAGAAATTTGGGTAACAGCTTTTAAACAACTCAATCCACGATGTTGAAGTCTTTGCTACTCAGATGTCTTTTTGACATATCTTATACTTTATGCATGTTCTGGGCTCTTTTATGGCCTTATTTTTCCTAAAACATGCTTATTTAAAACTGTTTTCCTTCCACGCACTATGATGCTCAAAAGGATTTTTAAATAACATTTGAAAACGAAAAATCAGTTAAACCGTTGGAAATATTGTTTGATAATTTTGAAAATCCAAAATTTGTGAAACCACCAGATTAGAGTTCGAAAATCTTAATCTGTTGTATTCGATAGACTGCCTGAAGATGGTAGTTATATACTACTTGAAAGTACTAGCGGACAAGTTCATTTTCTAAAGTTGGACGAGTTCATTCTCCAAGACTCCACTCCTGTAACGCCATAACACGTAAGAGTTATAATCATATAAAAAGCAGATGTAATGTTTTCTCTAGTTGTTCTTTACTTTCTTCAATGATAAGTATGTCATCTGCAAATCTCAGGTTATTGAATTTTACACCGTGAACTGATATTCCCTGCATCTCTTGCGTCATCTTATCCACGACTCTTTCTAAGAGACTTATGAAGATAGTTGGGGATATAGGAGCTCCCTGTCTGGTGCCTCTTTGGTTTGAACCAGTTTCTTAGCTCCCCACGCAATCTCACAGCTGCTGCTGCATTATCATTAATATAACTTAGCAGGTTTATTAGTTTATGATCCACTCCATAAGATTTTAGCACTGCCAAGCTGGCTTTTTGGTCTATGCTGTCAAATGCCTTCTGAAACTCCACAAAACAGGAATAGATGTTTTTCTGCTTTCTTCTTGCTTTTTCAACTAATAGCTGTAATGTTAGTATCTGCTGCATTGTATTTCT